CGCTCGGGGTTGCATCGACGCGGTTTGTTATTGATGGGCGCGCCGTGAAGATGCCGCTGCTGTGTTTGGCCGCCAGGGCCAAATACATGTGGCAAGCCCGATGCTGGTGCAAGTGGAGCACTTGAAAGCCGATCATCTCTCGCGCTGCTTGTCGTTTCCACTGTTGGCAATGCCTGCCGAAGATCACTTGCCTGGTGCCGGTGTCCTTGACCGTGTTGCACCAGTGAAGGAAGGGGTCGGGGACGGCGCGTGCCTCGCCCCTGCCCGTGTTGCACGTGAGCCACTGCATGCAAAAGTTTGCGCTGGGGAACGTGACGTCGGACAGCGACTCGATGGCGCCCTCGATGTCAAATGTGTGGGTGACGTCGAAGCCACGATGTTGCAATGCTAGTGCCATGTCCCCTCTCCGTTCTAGGATCCAGGCGGGGCGTCCTGGGGCTGCTGCCCGTTCCTGCTGGGGGCGGCTGGCGGGGCCAGCCTTCCGGGCCGGCCCGGCCGCGTCATAAATGGACAGCTCCCTGGAGTCTTCGATGGCGCAGGCGCCGAGAGACCCCGCGGATGTGCTACCTTGCCCTATCGCGGTGGAGCCTGTGCTGAGAAACCTCGTGCTAGCGCGGGGAGGTTGGCGACGACAAAGATCTCGGCATCGCTGGCGATGCGCTCCAGGATGAGTTGGGCGATGCGATGGCCCTGCTTGACCATGTGCATCCGCGGGCCTGTGTTGGACATAGTCACCTTATTCTCGCCGCGGAAGTCGGGCCCCGCCGCGCCGCTCGCGACGTCGACCCCCTTGGGGGCGAGTCCTGGGCGGGGGGTGGTGCGTAGGTAGGTGCCCGGCGGTGCGAGGCCCGCTGCGTCCGTCGACGCCAGCTCGCGACCACAGGTCGCGATGCTGACGTCCGAGCGCGCGTGAAGGCCGTAGCCCGCGGCCCTGGGCGCACCCCGCAGGGGTGCCCGTGCGCTGTGGCTGAGGAGCTGGGCCTTCAGCTTCTGGAACTCACGGCCGTCGGTGGCGTCGTAATCCTGGTCGTCGCTGCCCGCCGCCAGTAGCGTGCGCTGCTGGGGCGGCAGGCCCCCAGAGTGCGGCTTGATGAGCGTGTCGTCGACCGGGATTCGCAAGAAGCCGCTTCGGCGCCGACGCGACGTCGGAATGAATGCTGCCAGGCGCCCATGTGATCTCGTGCCCCTTGGTCCTGGAAGCGCGAGGCGCCTGTGGGCAGCGCCTGTCTCCGGCACCCCGTCATTGGACTGCGTGGATTGCCGAGCTAGCAGGGCGGGGAGGTCAGCTCCGGCGCCCTCCACGGCTGGGGCGCGCGCGCTGTGCTGTCTGGCGACGCCCTTGCGAGATGTCGTTGCGACGGGGCAGTTTGCCTCGTAGGTTCGCTAACCCTGCGCCCCCGATAATAATCCCCAGGGGATAATAAAGCTCGGGGGTCTGGCGGGGATAATCAACGATTTTCCCAGCGAAGGATGATGGTGATGATCCTGGGCGCTCGCGTAGACTGACCTTGTGGATCTTGGCGCAAGACTGAGTCGAAAGATCTCGAGTCTCGCGGCCACAACTTACCTGCGCAAGGTCCTTGGCGCTTCTGGCCAGGGGGCCTCCCTTGCGCGCGACCTCGAACCGCTCGCTCACGCAGGCTCGGCGCCCCTTGGGGCAGTCCCTGCGCGGGGGGCGCTTGGCGCAGGCCTGGGTGGCATGCGCCTTGGCCTTGGCCCAGTCGTTGTCGCTGGCCCCCTCGAGCTGATCGATCCACGCGTTGCCTCGGGCGCGCGTCGCGTTGATGCTCGCGGGCGCTGGGCGGCTCTCGCCTTGGATCTCGCGCGGGGCGCGCTCGATCCAGCGACTCGTCCGCAGGCCGCAGGGCCAGGCGTCGCCTTGGAACGTCTCGTTGCTCCTCGCAGGACAGGTCTCGCCGGGGCCAATGGCGCCGAGCTTGCGGAAGATCCTCGTGGCGGCCTCAGGAGGCCGCGCGCGAGCCCTGCCCCTGCCGCTCCCCCGCGCGATTTCTGAAGAGAAGTGTGGGGTTCACTTCGTTCGGCAGCTCCCGAGCGAAGTGAGCGCCACCTCCCCCCTCAGAAATCGTGGGGTGTAGGTGGGAGTTCGCATGTGGCCCTGTAGGCCTGCTTGGCGTTCTCGGACGGCTGCTTGGGCGCGTCGCGGTGCTCCGCTGCGACGCCCCCGCCGATCCTCGAGGCCTTTGCGGGCTCTGCCGCAAGTGCCCTCTGCCCGGGGTGCCTCCATGATTCGTTCCAAAACGAAGCGAAAAACTGAAGGCACCTTGGGGCAGGGGCAACCGTAGCAACCACCGGCCCTGAGGTAGGTGCAGTGCGCGGGCGCCTCGGAGTGCAAGAGATCAGGGCGCGCTCGGCCCGGTGGGCATTCTCGGCCCAGCGCTTCTGCCCCTCGGGCTGCTGGGCGGCGGGTTCGTCCTCGCCCTGGCCCTCTCGAGCCAAGGCGACGGCCGCCGTGGGCTCGACCGCCAGAGCGGTCTCGGGGGCGCCCGCGTGCTCCTCGATCTCGCCCAGCAGCGAGCGCACTATGCCCAGCTCGAGGGTGTCGCCCTTGACGATCTGCTCGCAGTTCATGATCGTGTACTCCTTGGCGAGCTCGATGCGGCGAGCCAGTTTAGTCTGGCGCCAGTCGAGCTTGCGCGGCTTGGGGAATTTGTAGTCCTGCTCGACCGTAACCCGTGGCGCTCGGGATTCACGGGCGCTCGTGAGCTTCCGCCAGCTTCCGCTTCGCGGATTCAAGCGTCCGCCGCCGCTTCCGCCTCCAGCTTTCCGCGGCTCGAGGTCGTCGGCGGCTATCTCCTCGCCGAGTGCGCCGGCGGCGTCGGCGTCGGCGCCCGAATCGATCTCTGCTGCCGGGCGCGCCCCCTGCGCCGGCAGTGCCGCGCGAGAGGCGCGGCCTCCCGACGTTGCGGGGGAGGTTGGCGCCGATCCCAACGCGGCAGGAACCGCGCAGTAGAAGCTCTGCACCGGCGCGGGCGCGCCCGCGAGGAACGCGCGCCCATGGGCAGAGTGGGCCGCCGAGGCGAGGTTGCCTGGCGATCCATCTATCGTGCGCCCAAAGCGCCTCAGCTGGCATGTCATGCGGGCGAGCTGCTGAGCGTTCGGGGGGATAGGCCATGCAGAAGTGATGTAATATCACGGCGATTTGAATGTTCGATGCGCCGGCGACGCGGGGCAGGGGGGAACTGGGCCCCTCGCGGCCGATCATGAATTTAGCGGCGTGTTGCGCCCAGCGGCGGGGGGCGTCGAACGTCGCCGTGGGGTTTTCGATGCGCCCCCGCGGCGATCGGTTGATGTTCGTCGGGGCCGATGCTGCCGAGGGGCGCGGCTCCTCGCCCAGCTGGCCCCATCGTTCGGCCAAACTGTTGATTGGGAAGTTCGTCGATGGCGCTAGGCCGCCGTCGACGAGACCTCCCTGGATCAGGACAACTAGCGGCCATTCGTCCACGCGCTCGCGCGCCATGCCGGCGCGGCGCGAGGAGACGTGGACCGCCTGGCGGAACTCGTTGAAGTCTGAGCTCGCCACTGACAAGATAATCACCTGACGCACCCCATTTCTGGAAAAGCACGCGGGCCTGGTGCTCGGGCCCCCGGGCGCGGAGGCGGCGCGTTGCCGCTGCTCCACGCAGGCGATGCAGCTTGCGATGGCGCGCGTGTCGACTCTGATGGCCTTCCACTGGAGTGCAGCTACCTCCGCATTTCGCAGCGGTGCTGGAGGCTGGGGGCCCCCGAACGGCGTCGCAGGAGTCGAAGGGGATACTTGCCCTGGATGTATTCCTCCTCGTCAGCGCATTGGGCGCCTGCTTCTGTCGCGTCGCTGCTCGGAGCATCCCGCGACGCAGTCACGGGAGTGCTCTTCGTGCGTCGTGTGGCCACTGTACGAGCGCCGCCAGTTGCGCGATCGTCGAGAAGAGTGCGCATCGGGATCCCGTCCTGCCCAGGTGGCGGGTCTGAGTAGGTGGCGCGAAGGGTCGGGTCCCAGAGTGTGGTGCCTCGGAGCGATGGCGTCCCAATCGTCCTGCCCTCTGCTGCATTTCCTCGGGGGTTGGGGAACGGAGTTCCCGTGCTGCCCGCAGCGTCCCCGCTCGACACCGGCGACGCACTCGCCGAGGAACAGTCCCAGTAAGCTCGGGACCTTGTTCTGGCGCCGCATATGTTCATGCTGCGCCAAGTAGTTGTCGACGCATCTGGGGCTACCCCCGCGGGCGGGGGCAGTGACAGTTCGGGGTCGCTGCCTGGACACACTCCGAACATGCCCGGGATGGGTCGTAGAGTTGTCCTTCTGGATCTTCGTGATGTTGTTATTGATGAAGTAGTGGTCGTGCGCGTTCTCGGCCACTGGTCTTGGCGGATGGGCGGATGCCCCGACGGACCCTAAGAGTGACGCGTCCTGCCGCAACGCGCGGGGGAAAGGTGCACGAAGGCGATGATGTTGTAGGCGGATGTTGGACGGAATTTGCAGCGGCGGGTAAAGCGGCACGACGTAGTGTTCTTGTGGATGGGATGGCCCATCCCTGACGTACACTGGAGTGACGTATCCTGCAGGCGTCGCGAATTAGTGCGACGGGAAGTGGGGGCCATGGCCATCGAGGCGAGGCGGGACATGGCGACCGTGGTATTGGAGCATGGGCGAACCTGGTCGGCCATCAACTAGAAATCTTGGTGTAGGAAATTGAGATATGGTGTTTGCATAAGAAGGAAAGTGAAGCGATGTGCACCGAATCTGACTGTGTAAGGCGGGCGCGGAGGCTGCAACCGGGAGCCAAGCAGCCACAGGGCACACTCCGTTTATGCACTGGCAAGGGCAGGGTGAGAAGCAGGCAAGGCAAGCGGACATCCCTGTCGAGTCTGAGGGGGGGGAGGAGGAGGAGGAGGAGGAGGAGGAGGAGGAGGAGGAGGAGGAGGAGGAGGAGGAGGAGGAGGAGGAGGAGGGGAGGAGGGGGGAGGAGGAGGAGCAGGAGGAGGAGGAGGAGGAGGAGGATCAGTATTTAACGATCTTGATCCTCTCAGCCTCCTGCCCGGGGCGCCCGCGCCCAGCGCGTCACGGGCCCGAGGGCAGCGCCTCGGGAGGCGGCGCCGGCGGCCGGCGGACTCCCCCTGACCCTCGCCGTCGCTCTCGTCGTCAGCCTCCTCCTCGGCCTCCTCGGCCTCGCCCTCGCCGTCGTCCCCGTCCTCGTCGCTCTCGCCCTCGCCCTCGCCCCTCGCCCTCGCCGTCCTGGTCGTGGGCCTTCGCCTCCTCGTCGTCAGCGTCTTCCTCTGGTCCTCCCTCCTCGGGAAAGAGGAGGGAGATGACCTCACCAGAAACCCGTGGCAGAAGCCATCCAAAACCCCATACATCTCCCCAGACACTTCAGTCCTCCTCCTCCTCCTCCTCCTCCACCTCCTCTTCATGTCGCCTCTTCTTTCCTTCCTTCCTTCCTTCCTTCCTTCCTGCCTTCCATTCTTCCTCGACTTCTGAAGCTGATGCTGCTGGCATCTGAATCCCGCGGGATGCTGCCACCTTCTCCGCCTCCTCCTCTCGCTCTGTCGTCGTCCTCCTCCTCCTCCTCCTCCTCCTCCTCCTCCTCCCTCTCATCCTCATCATGCCTCCTCCTGGCGAGGAGTAAAGGATTGGAATTGCTCAGACCAGGGCTGGACCTAAAAGGTGTTTTTGCGATTTCGTAGGCCGTTTTCGTTTCGACCTCGATTTGCGGCACAGGCGGATTGAAGACAAAACGAAGGAACACGAACACAAAACGAAAACGAAAAACACCGTTTAGGTTCAGCCCTGGCTCAGACTAGTGCCTGGGGGGTCCGCTGAGCGTCTCCGGGCACCTCCTCCAGCCCGGGCGGAGGCTCCAGCAGCTAGGCCGAGGTGGAGGACAAGGCCGAGGACGAGGAAGAAGCCTCCGTGGACCTACCGTCGACGCCGTCCCGATCGATCTGGCTGGCAATCTCGGTCCAGCCTGGCAGAGATGCTCGGCTGCAACCACCAGTCTGGTCCCGCCACCTCCCCGCTTTGGCGGCGCGCCCAGGGGGAATGCCGAGGTGGGCGGATCTCCTCAGAACTGTCAGCAGCTTTCCCCGGCCCTTCTCCGAAGCCCCCCCCCACCTTCTGAGAAAGCCTGCCCCCTCTCACTCTTCCCCCCCGGCGCGTCGCCGACCCTCCTCTCGCGTCCCCCTCAGTGTAAAATCCGCCGACCCTGCCGGCGTGTGTGAGGGGCTTGTCCGTTCGAATCGTCGTCTCCGTCATTCGTCAGTCGTCGTCTCTGTCGTCCCTTTCCCCTGCGGCCCGCGCTTCCCTGGGCCCCTGGGCCCCCCTTTCGCTCCCCCCCTCGGCGCGCCGCTGGCCCCTCGCGTCCCCCCTCGCGTCGTGAGCAGAACGGACGAGCAAGATCTCGCCATTCGTGGCTTCTGGGGGCCTTTGCCAGGCCCCACTGGGGCCGCCAATGAGGAACCAGTCCCAGAGAAGGGGTCAAGACCTCCAGGGGTCCGCAGTGTGCATCAATCACGACGTCGCGGGTCTGGGGAGGGCGGGAGGGGGGACGAGGGGGTTCGAAGCTCCTCTGACGTGTCTCTGAAGGCCAACGGAGGCCTCTGCGACTCCCCCTCCTCTGCAGAGATCTTGTACCTTGACTTTTTCACTGCAGGGATCTCGAAGTCCAAGCCCACACCCCAATTGAGCAGGGGCCGACCGTCCCGGCATTCCCATAGGCCTACCAAGACATTGTCTTAGAACAAAAAGTGTTCGAAACACAAATGTTTAGACCATAACCCGATGTATCCTATACGACCACCCCCCCTTCGGGTGATAAGGAGGTTGTGGGGGGAGAGGGGGGGGACCAACATCTGACTCAATCGATCTCACTATCAATCTCACTCAGTGTAACACCACGGCACATTTGTCGATCTCACTATCGATCTCACTTTTGATCTCACTCAGCGGGACACCACGGGCCACCACGGGACACCACGGGACACCGCGGGACACCGCGGGACACCTCTCGATCTCACTATCGGTCTCACTATCGATCTCACTACCGATCTCACTCAACGGGACACCATAGGACACCACGGGACACCATATCGATCTTACTATCGATCTTCCTATCGATCTCACCATCGATCTCACGCAACGGGACACCACGGGTCACCTGTCGATCTCACTATCGATGCCACTTTTTGGGACACCACGGGACACCTCGGGGCACCACATCGATCTCAATATCGATCTCACTCAACGGGACACCACGAGACACCGGACACCACGGGACACCACGGGACACCGCGGGACACCGCTAGGGCCACCGCCAGACGGACGGACGGACGGGGGAGAATAATTTGTCTTGGCTTCGCCCTAGCAACGGCGGACACCACGGGACACCACAGGACACCACGGGACACCGCGGGACACCGCTAGGGCCACCGCCGGACGGACGGACGGGGGAGAATCATTTGTCTTGACGTCGCCCCAGCAACGGCGGACACCACAGGACACCACGGGACACCGCGGGACACCGCTAGGGCCACCGCCGGACGTACGGACGGGGGAGAATCATTTGTCTTGACGTCGCCCTAGCGACGGCGGGTTTATTCCTCTCGCGCTCCCGCGCAGCTTCGCCTCGCCCGCACGCACGACACGAGCGAATCGAAACGATTTCCCGGTTGGGGGTCTCCGTTCCACTGCGATCTCACCCCCCAACCTCCGATTCAAGAAAGACAGTCTCAGCCAAAAATGTTCTAAGGGCATTTCGTGCAAACCACAAAAGGTTCTTAGAATCGGAGGTGAGGGGGTGAGATCGAAGTGGAACGGAGAGCCCCCCTACCGGGAAATCGATTTCGGTTTCGTGTTCGTGCGTGCCGTGCGGGCGAGGCGAAGCTGCGTGGGCGGGCGAGAGGAAATCTCCTGTGGCTGAGGCGCGGCCGGACCAAATGTCTGCCTTCCGGGCGGCCCCGCGGTGTCCCGCCGGTGTCCCGCTGGTGTCCCGTGTGGCTGAGGCGCGGCCGGACCAAATGTCTCCCTTCCGGGCGGCCGGGGCCCCGCGGTGTCCCGCCGGTGTCCCGCCGGTGTCCCGTCGGTGACCCGATGATGATGATGATGATGATGATGATGATGATGATGATGATGATGATGATGATGATGATGCTGATGATGATGATGATGATGATGATAATGATGATGATGAGGAGGATGATGATGATGTTGATGTTGATGTTGTTGATGATGATGGTGATGATGATGTTGGTGTTTTATTTTGATGATCGATACTGAGATCGATAGTGAGGTAGAATGTGAGATCGATAGTGAGATCGATAGTGATATCGATTGTGAGATCGAGCGTCAGACCGAATGTCAGATCGATTGTGAGATCGATTGTGAGATCGATAGTGGTATTGGTAGTGAGATCGATTGTGAGACCGAATGGGAGATCGATTGTGAGATCGATTGTGATATCGATAGTGAGATCGACAGTGAGACCGAATGTGAGATCGATAGTGGGATCTATTGTGAGATCGATTGTGAGATCGATCGTCAGATCGATTCTGAGATCGATCGATTGAGATTGATAATGAGATCGATAGTGAGTTCGATAGTGAGATCGATGGTGAGACCGAATGTGAGATCGATTGTGATATCGGTTGTGATATCGATAGTGAGATAGGTAGTGAGACCGAATGTACGATCAATAATGAGATCCAAAGTGAGTTCGATAGTTAGATCGATAGTCAGATCGAATGTCAGATCGATTGTGAGATCGATTGTGAGATCGATTGTGGTATTGGTAGTGAGATCGATTGTGAGACCGAATGGGAGATCGTTTGTGAGATCGATTGTGATATCGATAGTGAGATCGACAGTGAGACCGAATGTGAGATCGATAGTGGGATCTATTGTGAGATCGATTGTGAGATCGATCGTCAGATCGATTGTGAGATCGATCGATTGAGATTGATAATGAGATCGATAGTGAGTTCGATAGTGAGATCGATGGTGAGACCGAATGTGAGATCGATTGTGATATCGGTTGTGATATCGATAGTGAGATAGGTAGTGAGACCGAATGTACGATCAATAATGAGATCCAAAGTGAGTTCGATAGTTAGATCGATAGTCAGATCGAATGTCAGATCGATTGTGAGATCGATTGTGAGATCAATAGCGAGACCGAATGTGGGATCTATTGTGAGATCGATTGTGAGGTCGATAGTCAGATCGATTGTGAGATCGATCGATTGAGATCGATTGTGAGATCGGTAGTGAGTTCGATAGTAAGATCGATCGAGTGCGACGTTGGTCCCTTCCCCCCCCCCGAACCTCCTTATCACCCGAAGGGTGGTCGTATAGTAATTCCTTAGTGGGCCTATGGGCAAGCCAGGACGCTTCGCCTCCATCCCACTCCCCAGGGCCGGATTCTCATCCAAGGTCGTCGCCTGCCTGCCCTGGGGCCCAGCAGGGGACCGAGGCCGAACAATGCCCAATACAATCCGTCGTGATGTCGTCATGTCGGGGGGGGGTCCAGGTCCGCAGGTCAAAACTTGACCCTCAGGCCGGTATACAGGTTGCGCCCCAGCCGTAATCTCAAGTGGGATACAGCGGCGTGGCGCAACGGGGGTGCCTCCTGGAGGTTCAGGCGAACAACAAAAACAATAACAACTCATCGTGAGGGAGGAGCGGGGAACAAACAGGTACCGATACCGCCTCTGCCTGGACCTCTCCTGGAGTGCGTTCCAGCCGGAATTTCGAGGAGAATCCAGCCGCTGCGACGAGGGCTCACCAGGAGCAGCAGTATGAATACCTTCTCCTCCCACGAAGGACCCCCCGCAGGGAACTGGCAAACGGTGTCCGGTCCCCAGGCGGACCGCGCTTCTGGCACGCCCTGCTCAGGTACACGAAGGTGTTCTGGCAGGGGGGCACGCCCGCCTGAGGCCGCCCCGTCGTCGACGTCGTCGTCCTCCTCCTCCTCCTCCTCCCCCTCCTCCTCTTGCCCCAGGGGGAGGGAGGAGGAGGGAGAAGAGGAGGAATCATGTCCAGGCTTGGGAACAAGACGAGGGCAGGCGCAAAAGAGTACGAGACGAAAAGAGGGCAAGTCCTGGGTCGATCCACTCGTGATCTGATTGCTATGAGCTCTCTCGCTGCCGATGAGCGGAAGGCCTGGGCACGGTGCCGTGCGCGAAAGGCGAGACGAACAGAACCTGGCCTTGTTGACCCACTGGCACGTTGCTGATTGAAAGCGGCGTGCAACCCATCGGTCGCCAGAGGGGTCGTAAACAAGACAGGCACGTCATTCTCGAGATCGGCCGAAGAGAGAATGAAACTAGCATAGGGGTCCTCACCGGAATCATGTGGAAGCGCGGGCAGAGAGGCACGGACAGTGGAAAACATGCGCGGGCACGACATAGAATGGAGAGTGGCCGAGGAATTGGCCATGGTTTCAAAACCGAAGACGTAACACACGAGCCGAGTTCCTTGCCGATCAGAAGGAGCCTGAGCCTGGCCAGGTCAGCCTGGGAACGACTGGTCGGGGTCCAGCAGAGACAGGAGAGAGAGAGAGAGAGAGAGAGAGCGAAATATGGGGGAAAAGACAGACGAGTTCGCGAGCAATCTTGCCTTGAAGACCATGGCGCAGTGACGAAGGGACGGGCGGGATAGCCAGGGGCGAGTCGAAGTTCTTCGGCATGCTTACAAAGGCAGACGGCTGGAATGTGGGTGAACGCATGTCGAATAGTGTGCGTTCGTCATCGCATCAAACTCATGAAATAAGTTACGTTGACGAGAGAAAAATTCCTCCGACTTCAGAGCAGCATGACACTGGGCAGCGCGGGCATGATGATATAGACTACGGGCCGAGCAACTTATGCCAAAAGAGCTGGCATCCCACAGCGTAGCACAGGTCAAAGGATGCCGCGGTGCCGCGTGCTGCGCCGCGGGCTGGCAATCAATGTTGTGCATGTGAACGTTTCCTGCGGGTCCTCACAGGTATTTGCTGTAAGTGGGCGGCCCGGGACACCGATTCACCCCCGCGGCCCAAGAAAACGCCGAGGTGAAGACCGACGCGACCAATTTGTGCATGGGAAGTCCTCACTTTTGCCACCCGGCAATCCTTGCGGAAGGACTCCTCCGCAGTATCAAATGCCGGCGCAAACTGAAATTTCGTGGCATGCAAGATAAGGCCTCCAACGCGTGCCAGACGGACAAAATGCATAGTCATGACGATGTGGGCCTTGGCGAGGTTTAAAGCGGCGATGCCAATGTCATCAGCATGAGCACACGGGCGAGCGCGGACAGGGGGAATATCATGTTTAACCCAACGAACCAGGGGTTCAATGCGAGCCCCCATAAGAGGCCACATAAGGGGCAGCCTTCTTTCATCCCACGAGACAGCTGAAGCTTCCCCAATACAATTCCTTTTTAACAGAGCGCGCAGGAAGATGTTTGCATGCAGGTTCATCACGATAAGGCGGTGCCACGGGGGAGTGCCCATGTGTTCTAACACGTAAGACATCCAAACATGTGCAATACTCGGAAAGGCTTGGCGAATGTCGTATAATGCCATGTCAGCGCTGGGGGCTGCCTCGTAAACTGCGCACTGCGTAGATCTGCCACCAAGTACAAGAACCGGATCATCGAAAGAGCGGCCGCCAACGGATCCAACCTGGTCCTCATTGCCTATTGTTCCGCGAGCAACTTGGCCGAGCGGCTGGGCAAGAGCGCCGCGGATCAGCTTGCAATCGCGATTGCCGCGAGCGAGCGGGCGCGCATGAGCTGCAGCCTCGCGCGGGTCGGCCTCCGGCGCGCCCTTCGGCAGGAGAGCGAGGAAAGTGTCATTGTACTCTGGTGGAGTCACTCCAGTGTTAATGGTGTGGAGATCATGTTGATAAAAGAACACGTCTAGCTGTAGCACCGCCGTACTTCCAGCCTGGATGCGGACCGCCAACTAGCCCAGGGCTTGAACCCAGAGCGTGGTTCAGAAGCTCGTTAAATTGGGCGGGGTCGAGAGTGCGAATGATGTCCTGGGGGGCTTTTTGAATCTCGGGGGAGGGGGGGGGGGTCGCTCCATGTCCTGGCGGGAGGGCCAAAACGGACGGGCAGCCTCGGCCCAGTGGTCCTGGAGGAAATCAGCACGCGTAGGGGGGTCGGCGCGGGGGGCACCGTCAGGATCCAGTGCCTTGGAGCACCACTTGTTTGTTACGGGGGGCCGAGGCGCGCGAGAGCCTTTCAACTTTGGCAAGCCCAGCTGTCCGTGTCTGAAGGAACATAGCGTTGTCACGAACGAGTGTCGCTCGTTTTTCTTCCAGCTCGAGGCGGCTGAGAGTGGCGAGAAACGAATGAAATTGGTCGGCGCCGACCAAATTAGCATCCTCGCCGACAGAATCAGCCGCCCCTTGCGTCCGACCGTCACGCCGCATTCAGAGAGTTGATGACGGGCCGAATCTGGTCCAGCGTGGTCCCCCAGTGCTCGCAATCCTCCTTGACCCATTGCGCAATGCCCCTTTCGTCAACCTTGATGAGGTCGATAACGTCGTCCGCGTTGGTGAGCGTCATGTCATCGGGCAAGCCTGCGCACCCAAGGTTGCATTCACTGGTCCATGTGTCAGACTGTATGAGAAAAATACATAATCGGGAACCCTGCCTGACCACTTGATGAGGTCGATAACGTCGTCCGCGCTGGTGAGCGTCATGTCATCGGGCAAGCCTGCGCACCCAAGGTTGCATTCACTGGTCCATGTGTCAGACTGTTTGAGAAGCTACATCATCGGGAACCCTGCCTGACCAAGGTGACGCTGTCGCTTCCGAACCTCATGAGGGAGATCTCCGCGGCGTCGTAGCTGCGTGACCTTCTGCGGGCGATTGGCGTCGCGTCGCGGGCCCGTCCACGAAGCGCCAGTCATGCCAACCCGACCCGCGTCGAGAAGTCCTTCGCCTGCTGCTCCGTTGCGCATGTGGCCGAGAAGCTCTGAGACGATCGATGAAAGCGAGGGGGCGCAGCGTCCGCGGCTGGATGGGCAAAAAGACGGGCGACCGTGCTTCCCCACGTCGCACGGCGAGTCGCGTCCACGCGGCGGCGCGGGTACGCGCCTCGCACGTTCCTCGGGCGCGCGCCGATCCAGCGGCGGCGCGGGTCCGAGGTATTCTGAAGAGGGGCGCTGAGATTCTGACCGCCAGCCATGCCAGCCCAAGGTCCCGGCGATGAAGGCGGATCACGACGGCGTTTAGCGCCGCTGCTCCCAGCGGTGCTGGAACCATCGCGCGTCGCCCAGTCCTCCTTCAGAGCGTTGACAGCAGTCATGCATTCCTCGTACTCGGTCTCCATTTTCTGTTCCAGCGTGGGCATCTGTGTGGTGGCCGTGGCGAGCTCCGGCTCGAGCTGCAACGGTCTGGCCGCCGTCGCGTCGGTCTGGCGAATCGAGTCGTCGATGGCAGCCATGCCCCTAGTCTGCCGTGCCTGCACGGGGCGCAACGTCGACGCGACATCCTCGGCGCCCATGGGGGCGGCGCTTCTGGGGAGTGAACAAGGCGAAATGTTCAAGAGAGCTCGACGCAAGTCTAAAACGAGGGGCGGGCCGTGGCCCTCGCGTCGCGGGCCGAGTCAGAGGCGGGCCCGAACAAGAGCTCCCTGTATGCAACCTCGAGACACGGATTACCTGAGCCAAAATGGCCGCGGAAGGAAGAGGAGGAGGTGGGCGGGAGGAGGGGGAGGA